ACGCGTGAGTACACTCTTAACCCACTGTACTACAACACTTAGTATTTATAGCAATGCCATAATACCTTTGACCATTTTTCTTTCCTTTTATTTCCATAACCTAGTGTACAACAATTCCAAAATATCTTTCCCATCATAACTGCAGTTACTACCCCATACTTGACTATCCAGGTGAATGAATCACTATCTGTAATTTTGTTCTCATTTTAAATTACCTTTGATCTAAGTTAAATTTCTCCACAGTTTAAGTTATGTTAATTTCCTTTTTCTATATTAATAAATTTGGGTTGCAAAACATACATAGTAAACAGACCTCTATCACTTATACAAATATTATCAATGTCATGGCATCATCATCAATAGCAGATTTTTTCATTATAAAAATTATTAAAGTAAAATAGTGCTCTAATCAAATCAAATCTTTTGGGTTAAGCTCGCCTTTGTACATGACATTTCCTTGTTACTTATATATATGTATGTGTTCAGTGTGTACAATAAACAATAAATAGAATAAATCGTTTATTTGTGATACATGGGTTACATACAGATATTCATTACATAATTATTAATGATGTTCATTCCATGATCTGCCACTAGAAATTATTAAATAATAAAATAAAAATATGATTATTACTATTTAAAATTATATTATGACAGACACACACTAGTTAGGTTCCTCTCATACAATGAAACTACACATTAAAAATTAAATTACAGTAAATAATTCTCATAATTCTTATTAACTTCATCAATTTGAAGTTATTGGGGACATAGATATCTTTTTTCCCGTGTGTTACGGGACGGGGTATTTATAAAACCGACAAAAGTCGAGATGTTGAGCTCAACACTCACAATTATATTAAAAATTTATATTAAAATTCTGTTTGTTGTTTACCTTAAAGTGGGTACCTAAAGTATAATTAATACTAAATAGTACTGATAACATTAATACTTAATATAAAATATTTTATAACCCACAGCTCAAATGGCAGTTGGTACGAAATTCCACAATACTCTGAAAAACTATTTCACACAACCAAAATCTCAGCTTCGTATTGAGAAAGAAGTTGAGGGTGTTTGGACTTCTGTGAATGACATCCTCAAGAGTATATCGGCACCTAAAGCAATAGAATCCAATGTTGTACATCCTGTACTGAAATACAGAGGGGTATTTGATGCCATTGCTGATTACGAGTAAGTATTTACATGTACAGATTACACAGTCTTAATAATCTCTTTTTTTTATTAGGATTGTTGTGTTTTTTCAATGTTGTTCTTACCCAAAAGCATGTAGTTGTAAATGTAGGTACTTATAATTTTAAATTTGTTTTGACAATAAAACCACTTTAGTACAATCAAGTATCAGTTACTGAACTGACAGTTGATGGTACTAAACTAACCAAAAATAATTTATGAAATCAAGAAAATAAGTAAATCCATATCTTAAGATATAATTGATGTAACTCAATTCGTTTTGTTCTAAGAATACAGACAGAATGAACTTTTTCATGTTTCTGCAGAATAAGAGGAAAGCTAGATGTAAAAGCTAAATAAATATTAAACTTTTGTTCTAAGAATACAGACAGAATGAACTTTTTCATGTTTCTGCAGAATAAGAGGAAAGCTAGATGTGAAAGCTAAATAAATATTAAACTTTTGTTCTAAGAATACAGACAGAATGAACTGTTTAATGTTTCTGCAGAATTAAGGGAAAGCTAGATGTGAAAGCTAAATAAATATTAAACTTCGACTTAATGCTGTGAAACAACACTTACTTCTAGACACCTTGACTTAGAATTTGGCAGCTAAAACATAGTCAGTTTTTCATATGGGTTCTAGCACTCGGCTAAACATACTTAAATACATATTATACATAGACCAGACCTATGCGATTAAACGTACAATGTAGGTACATGCTAACAAATATTTGTACTACCACCGCGTCACACCTTTCATAAAGCTTTACACGCGACGCTTATGGCTTGTTGTTTGTATATAGCCACTAGGTGATTGGACTATTTCTTTCAAAACGTAACAACTGTCTACTCATTAAAAGATTTAAGTGCCAAATACAAACTAAATCACTCTTGTATACAATCTTTCATTAAAATTCTGCTGATTCGAAAATGTTAGGTACCACCGCTTACCCATTCCACTCATCGTCGTCTATCAGCCAGCTTAAACTGGTCAACAATTGCAAAACTATATAGTAGTAAAACACCGATAGTGACCATTTAAACCTTGTTTTATATATACAAAAGACGGAATTAAAAAACAAAAGCTGTTAAATCGCGCAAAGACTCTGATGAAGTAATTATCGCTTGCGGTATTTCCGGACTTATAAACTAGATTAGTGACCCTTGTCACTTTACCATCAGGTTACCCGTCTGCGCGCTTAACCGCTAAATGATAATAAAAATTCAGTAATATTGTGAAACCGTAAATCGTTGTGTAGTATTTATTAGAGCTTGCTTCGCTTCTGATTCTTGCACGTGTTCTCGGTTGTTTATCGCTAAACTCAGAGGTCAAACATCCGGCAACAATGATCTGGTAAGTTTATTTAAATGTCGACCATTAAGTTACCAGTAAGTAGTAAATATTAACATACAAATCACCTGTTTTTATTGTAGCAGATTACTTTTCACACCACACACATAAATAGATAGGTAGGTAGATGACTGTAAAGTCAAATACCCATTTTTTAATATTAAACGTCAAAAAGAAAAACGCTTGACATTTTTGTATATTCCTTTTTTTCTTTAACTTTTAATGTTGATTTGGAGATAAAAAAATATGTAACTTGATAATAGAGGGCTATTCATGCTGTACCTACTTTAAGATCGTTAAATGATTCATTAATACCAATAATGTTTTTGAAAACATAAGAATCAACCCATTTTCGATGATTGTATTGCGATTGCCACCCTAAATATTAGCCTATTGCCTCCATCCTCCAAAGTACGTTAGTACTATATTTTTTACTTAGGTACGTACAAATTCTGTAAAGCGTCATTTGCTTATCGTTCTTATCAGCTTTGAAATATTTTGCCGATATAAATGTCAATGACACCAAGTATTCTACATAATACCTACCTAAATTTATAATGTCAAGGGAACCTGAAGGTCATTCAGATTTGGCGCAATCTCAAGTTCCCCCTCGAGATAAAATCTATAATAAAGTACTTTCAATGACACATCTGAGGGTTTACTTCATCTTAAAATTCGTGCGTTCTATTGACATTAAAATATTTTTCTGTTCTTCGAAGTAGAAAAAAAATACCGACAGCCATCTATCTAAAACGTCTTTTTCGTAACTTGATCCAATTATGGGCTATAGGATTCTGATAAATAAACTATATGCTAGTACTTCTAGATAAAGAGCAAAAAGTAGGGTAAGCAACCTCTATTTCTTCAACCGTATCGGTGCGTCGAGTAAATACAAATACTGGAGTATAATAAAATATAATATGTATAACTTGTTTTGTTTGTGTTATGTGTCCACTGTAAGGAACATCAATATTGAAATAGTGTATTCTGATTCTAAAGTCATTGGAATTTTCTGCCGGAAAATTAAACTTTTTATGCAATAAGCTGTCAAAGGTAAAGATCATTTCCGTAGGTATCGCACAAAAGTAATAACTACATGTGTATTCCCTGCAAAATTCTACGCACACTAACACTAGTTGGCGGCCGGAGGGGAGGTCCTGCTCGCTTCGGCTATTTGATTAATTACATTACAGTTTTTTACCGTATGCGGTATTTATTAACTTGTTTTCGGTGAAATGTTCGGTTTACTCACTGTGATAACATTTTTAAACAAAAAAAAAATGGAAAATTATAAAAATAATATATAATGATTTTCGACTCAGAATCATGGTCTGAATACACTATTTAAGTATTCGTTAAGATATCCCATACACCCTGTACATATATCAACCAACACACACCTACCTACACTCCAGGAGGCACAACCGGTCACCTCGCCTCCTGTTTTGATCGCACGACGCTAGGCAAGATCGCATGCGGTTTCGGTGTATTGCCTTCGTCCATCATCTTTATCTCTTGCAAGGCTTTCTCTTTTATTTCCCTTGCCTCTGATTTGCACGTTATACACATATTATGAAATAAACAAACCCTTTTCTTTTTTGTATGGAACGCCCCTCCTATGGTCTTTCAAAACTATCCTGTGTCCTTTCCCGGGACTCAAACTATATCTATGACAAATTTGATCTAAATCGGTTCAGCGGTTTAAACGTGAAGAAATTACAGACAAACACACTTTCGAATTTATAATATTGGTATGGATGTTTACATCATCAATAAAATTGAGCGTTTCGAATTGAAATACAAAATCATTAGTCTGTAGAAAGATGTCATTTAGGGTAATATTTGGAACACACCCACAATCCAATTTAGTTTTTTGCATGACGTCGATTAAAATATCGCCATTAATATTAAGAAGAAAATTGAATTAACGATTGTTTATAGAGTTTTCATTCCCATATAATTAAGCGAAGTTTTTTGTTTACTTCATTATCATCAACAGCCTTGTAAAGAAGGTTTGTTTACTTAACAAAATTTATTCATTGCTATTAAGAACAAATCAAAAAGCTTGCAATCAAATTAAAAAAAATATGCTTTACCCATCAGAGATAGCAATACAAACTGAAAAGTAATTGTTAATAATAAAATCACTTTTAGCTGACGCTTGACAAATTTCAAAATCGGTTGAACGTTTCATAATGGTCGTTACGTCAGCAACATAAAAATTATGTTGTTTGTATCGCTGTAGGGTGACGCACGCGTTCTGAATCTATAGAATATTGATAACCATTTGATGCATAGTATCTACCTAGTGCACATATCTTAAAATAAATTGACATCATTTATAACAATAAAAACATAAACGTAATCTCTAATTCCGTGCCTAGCTGTAAATTGGTTGTGACGAACATAACTCTAGCTAGATACACCTACATTATGTTCTGACTGTGATACCCACACAGAATACAAGCCAAAGAGAGTAAATAAACATACTAGTTGTGTGACCCGTGTTATGCTAGTCAACATCATCAACAGACTAATATTCCACTGCTGGCATGACATAGGCGTTACTGTTTCTGCTGGGACAACGTTTTCCTAGCGGCACTTTTTTATCCTATGGACGTAGAAAAAATATTTTATCAAAATAGTGTATGAGGTAATTGTGTATGTTTAAATGTGAACTTTGTGCGTCAATAAACTGCGAAGATATTAAAGTTTCCACTGCGACAACGTTTGCCCATTTGCTAGATTTCAAACAAAACGTTTTTCTAGAGAGGTGTAGATTTTTTAATACGTTGTTTTGAATTTGTTTATACTGTTTGTAAAAATCATCATCATCATCATCATGAACAGCCTCAGCCACAGGCCTCTCCTTAGAAAACAGGTTTTGGCCTACTATATGTACTTACCCCGCTGGTCAGTTTTCATTCTCTTTGCAGTGCTGTTGTCCTGCAGAATTTGCTTCCTTTGCTGCGTGGCTGTTACTACACCCACGGGATGAATAGGGTTGTAGGAGAAAGTACTATTACGATTATATTATTAGTATATTAGATATTATTAGTATTAGTACGAGTATTGGTATCCATTTTATACAATAGTGTCTAACTAGTGTACTTACATATCTTGAAAAAAAAATACAGATCATTCATTGCGATAAAATTATAAGCGTAATGGCTAATTCCGCGACTTCCTATCATTTGATTCTATACCGGACAGTACACCAGCTACACCTACGTAACACACACTCACAACAAAAGCTAAATGTTTAGTTGGAAGAGTTAAAAAAAATATGTTTTGTGTGATACGCGTTATATTGATTTGAAATAAAAATCGTTAAACTAATTCTGGGGTAGGCCGTTAACATCATTTCAGAATTTTATTACTTTTATCGGATAATCCCACTGATTTAGAAACAACCGATTACAATGTGTAGCGTACACTACGATAGTGCCTTTTAGCAATATAACGCCACCTAATATTAAATCAGATGAATGCAAATCTTTAAAAAATATATCGTAGTTAACGGTGTTTTTTTTTTTAAATTACATTGATTAATGTTACGTTAAAGTACGTATATTTTTTTTTTAAATGAACAAAACCAAATCATTTATAATACCAGCCAAGAAAGACGTACAAAAAGTCTTTATACCTAGATATTGACTTTTTAAGCGTCATATGACGTTCTTCTGAAACTAGGTTAGGGTCGGCTTTAAATCTACTCTGTACTACTGTACCCAAGTACTAATCGATAACAAAGTTTCTGTAGAAAGACAGTTGTCGGACTTTTTAGGGCTCTAACTAACGTAACAATTACCACAGATTAGTAATCGTCACCAGCCTTTACAATTTTTTTAATGTTAGATGGGGCAGACGAGCAGACGGGGAGGGCAGACGAGAAAAGTGACCATCGCCTCCCATGAACGCATGATGCATTCTCAAGTAGACTTGGCTTATGTAGGGGCAGCCCTCATGAAAAATAATAAAAGTTACTGTTTCCCAAATATTAAGATTAAATAAAAAAACAGTCACGTATGAGTTGGACTCACACACAGAGTTTCGTGCTGTAATCTATAAACTGCCGAAAAAAAATTGCTTGACAATAGACCCCTCAACCCAAAGGGTACGAAACCCCAAACAGCCTAAATCTAAGTTTACCCTGGGATAGGGCGTAGTGCGACGTCCATATGGGGGGGAAACTGAAATCAAATGGCCTGGGTCCTCCCTAGAGTAGGGCGCTTAAGGCCGGCTGTTGGGGTGGTTTTTAGTGAAAACACCACATACTCCTGGCTCCTGTATCCCCAAGGAGCCGGAGATCCTTAGGTATTTCCCACCACGTCACCAAAAAAAGACATGTTACATTCGTACTAGTTCTTGAGTATTATAAAATATTTTGTCACATAAATGTAATAATATTACTAGACGTTATAAGTAAACAACAACTTCACATATTTCAGAGAAAAACCAACGTTGATAGAATGGAAGAAATCTGACAAACCACGCAAATCGATCGCCTTAACCTACGACAATCCAGTACAGTTAGCGGCGTACTTTGGCGCCGTTTGTAACGACCTCAACTACAAACACTTAAACGTTAGAGACGCATTGTTAGTCATCGCATACACTGACGGCTCTAAAGCCGACGCATACCACCTTCCTACTGATAAATTGCGAGAGCATTGGGCACAGTGGCTCATAAGGTTAGAAGAATATTCAAAGAAATATGGCAATGATTCGGAAAAGATATTGAAAGGTGGAAAGAGATTATTCGAAGAGGATATCGGGAATCTCCAGTAATTTACGGTATGTCTCAATCTTTGTTTTTTATTCCCTCTCCTTCTGTGAGCAAGTCATACTTGCGAAGGAGACAGCGGAGCGGGACCGGGCAAAATTTAGAACTCTTCCGGTTCGCCAGGCTCGGGAACGGGCGAGGAACCGCAGACGACTCAGACGATCGACTGCGCCAGGAGAGTTATGTTTTCGAGTGTCGTTAGATTCGATTACATTTAGACGCTTTTACAGTTTTGTATGAAATACTATATCGTGACGTCATACTTAGCTATTGTGAAATCGTTTATATTTAATGTTGATATCAAGATATCAAATCAAAAAAAATGTTGTGGATCAAAAAAAATGGAGAACAATTCAGACTCTAAGATTTATTTTAAACCTAGGAATCTACCATATTGTGAGAATGACACAGGGTATACGAAAATTATAAAACTAAAATCGTCGGTTTGTACTTTTTTAAGTAAAACTAAGAAAGAAACTATATGTTCTATTTTCTGTTTCAGCGGAGTTTTCAAATAAGAATGAATAAAAACCGAGGATCAAGTTACTACCTACAAATGCATAACTAGCCTTGGATTCACGTGCTACGCCTTCATAAACACTGAGAATAACCTCTTTGTAACGCAAGGACGAAGTAGGCTAATAGCTTTGCAAAGATTATTGTTGTTATGTTTCATTATAAACATGTTATATAAAGTTAAAACATTTCTATTGAACAATTCATTAAATGTGTTAAGTATTGCCAATGCTAACAGTTTGATGTAGATAGATTATTTCAAATTATTGACATTTCCTTGATACTCGTGATGTTTGCTTAACTCAAAAATAATAGATTTTCTCCGTTTATGCATCATTTTTAATTGATGCCCTCATCCTATTGGTCGTATCGTGATATTAAATAGCCTATAACCGGCTATCCAAGCCTAAAATAATTTTTCAATTCCAACAAGTAGTTCTTGAAAGCGTTTAACCAAACAAACTCTTCAACTTTATAATATTAGTACAGATCTTACTTGCGTTTGCATTAAATCAAACAGCTCTTAGTTCGTTTCATTTAATCAATCTTCTATTAATATTGTTGTATGATACTCATTGTCATAATGACTTGTATTTCAGATGTAATAGTGACTGACTGACAACTTCACCTAATTATATCTTTCAAACAACGCGTGTAGTATCCATATGGAAACCATCTTTGGATGTTGGCCAATTTATAAAATAACACTTAGTAATGTAGTAACAATGCTAAACTTTGAAATTTAAATGTACCTATTTTTTTTTCTTTCAAAAGTATCATCTAACTTTGTGAAACAAATGTATGTTAGGTATCTTTCTCAATTCAGTTCTTTTTGATATGAAATCCGTATAATATGTAGTCTTTATATTTTTGAGTTGGTCTAACGGTAGTGTTATCATTGGGTTCTTTAGATGATCAAGGGAATTTTATATGTCATTTCGAATCATCGAAGATCATGACAAATTAATTTGCCACTTTCGACACGTCGTGATAAAACGAATATTTCAATTACATACAAACAAGGAAATGTCAATGATATGGAATCAATGTAATATAAATTATAATACTAGAAGTGTATTGTGTATAAGGTAAAAGACTGGATAAGTGTGTTTGAAAGTGTCAAAAACCACAATATTATTAACATTAATGTTCCATACTTCATCATTCTAATAAGTACAGTCATGTGCAAATATAATTGCGTATGTTTTTTTAACCGACTTCAAAAAAAAGTTTCCCGTTTGGTTCCATTCAAATTTGAATTTAAATTAAGAAATCAAGGATAGAGCTTATTACAAATCATAACGCTGTAGAAGCATTAAAGAAGGTACCTTTTCTTTTTAAATTTAATTGTTAAAATAAATTTAACAATTAAATTTAGTCCATAATACGTTTTGAACAATCTAGTTAATCTATTATTGTCGCTATTATTCTACGTATAGACGATCTGTATCTATTTATAATAGGAATGTGTGAAAGCAGGTATGTGTGTCTGTTTTAAATATTAGGTACATACAAAAAAACTATTAGTTTGACAAAAGACTATGTTCATAAATTATTTGGAAATGTTTATGTTTGCAATTTATGTGAAGATAATTGATTTTTACATGTCATCCAATCCCAAATTGGTGATCAATTAAAATGTTTATAACTCAAAGTTCAAAACTGAATGATTTGTACTATAACTGTGTTCCGTTCAATACGATCGTCCATTCGCGTTAAGAGTACAGTGTCCGCACCCTGACCAATCAGGATCCAAGCTTTGGTCCTGGAACCTGATTGGTTAGAGGATCGATGCCTACGGCTATAGCACAAATATAATTCAATTTTGACCAATTAAGCCTGCTCTAGCTATCATGTAAAAACGGTTATTACGAGTCACTAACATAGTTGTAACGGCATGCGTGCATGTTTAAGCCTTACCTCAATTTATTTGTTATTTTTTTCTTCTGAATTGCCAAATATTAATATAGCTACTAGTCCAATATTAACACACATTGTGTTCAATTTCAAATTACTATTCTAACCAAATATGCTTGCATACTTACGCTTTATAATATTTTAATATATACAATATATAAGCATCACTAAACTACAGCATTTGGCCACACCTCCTATTTCAGTTTCAGTTTACAATAGAAGAAAATTTACCTCTATACGATTCTTCTTACATCTGTGCCACAATGCATATGCAGTGCACATTTTCAGGGGTCGTGCTGTACGGAGCCGATTCGCGTCCTGGCTGGCGGTTGTGGAACATTATAGAATGCTTTGTATAAAATAATTCGTTTCTAAACTAAGAAGTGTGTTAAAACCCGATGTTGAAACAACGTTAAAATACATGTTTGTATATCTTAGATCTACGATAGATCTCTAAATCAATTTATACCAGTTACACCAGGAACGATGATCCCTTACTCTGAATTTTCGTTCTAGAAACACTTGTGTACATCCAATAAGACACTACAGTAACTAAAAATATACGTAAGCTACATCACATTTAAAGATATAACAGAATGTGTGTGTTTTATTAGCATTTATTATAGGAACATATTTTCTTTGAAATTAATTGGATGAACCCCTTCCTGTTAGTAAAGACTTATTTTAATATGATAGTTATTTTTGGGAATTAGCTTAGTTTTAACTTCTTTTGAAATATTTACCATTAAATGCTGTTGTTTTGTATATTTAAGTTTTTCAGATATTCAAGTTTGTCTTAGGAATATTGTAAAAGAATGTACTATTCTTAAGTAGAATATATATTTGTCTATTGTATCTTGTAATTGTTTTCCTTATAACTTGACAACTGATTTATAGTTAGCAGCCAATATTTAGGTCTGAATTAGGTTTGTATTACTGTATTGATTTAGTTGTCTGATATTAAATAATATATAATTTACTTCTTCTATTTCTTTATTTCCTTCCAAAGAATCAAAGATAAAGGAAGCGTATTTTTGTCATAGCATTACACAAAGTAGATAGGAAGCCAAATGCAATTTTGACACTTTATCTGATTAGTATTAGTCGAAGGAATTCTAAAAAATCCTTTCCGAAATCAATTTTGTTTATTATTTTATCTCGGGAAATGAATATAATACCTAAACGATGTCGCGTATTTTAAAAGATCACTGAGTACTTGCAGCCTATAAGGTGTGCGTTGCCCCAGCGGAAAAAGTTCGAATTTCATTATTTGAGTCGACTCCAAAAATAACAATAATTGTAACTACATGATATTATCGTAATAATTTGATTGACTTTTAAGTATAATATAATAATAATAATATATTCTACCACATTCACACAACGCCATCTAGTCCCAAACTAAGCAGAGCATGTACTATGGGTACTAGACAACTGATATAAATACATATATACTTTTTTTTTTGTAAATACATACATATTATACATGGAAACACCCAGACCAAATCAAACATCAAATGTTCATGCACACAAATGTTTGACTTGAGCGGGAATCGAACCCGCGACCTTTGGAATAGCAGTCCGTAACACAAACCACTACGCCATCCAGTCTAAGTAGTCTAATATATTTCATTTTACTTAAAACTCAAAATTTTTGTTGATCGTTGTTTGTTATTCATAGGTACCAATATGTTGAGTTAGATTTGAAGTGGGTAGGTACCTACCTACCTTCTTGCGTGGTAAACACATAGATCGTACCTACATATTGATGAGTAGAAAAAGTAAGTTGATTATTAAGTTTTAGAAGAATATGCATTAATTTTTTTATTTTTTAGTGCATATTAATTGGTTTTGGAATAGTATTTTTTGAAGTCGTTTTTTTTTGTTAAAATTTGTTTATTCGTCAATAACTATAATAATAGTATAATAACCCCCAATGGTTGAATGCGCAAATTTTTACTTACCACACACAATTAAACGACGTCATACACTAAATTTCTGTTAAACTCAATCAAATTGGAACTTTGTCCGCTGGGGCGACGCACACGCCTATAAGAGATACACTAGACATTCGTTAACTGATAATTTAAAAATGGACAGGGTGGTAAAATGAAAATAAGCGGTACGCAAAGGAAGGTCACGGATTTTTTTCATTTTACTAACGAGATTTTTATACTATTGAGCCATAATGGTATTTTTAAGACTATTTATGTACACTATGGAACGCAATAAATGATTGAGTAACATTGACAAGCAGAATGACCGAGTTTTTAGGCTCAAAGCTCTTTAAAAGCTTCTCAGGTAGTCAGCAGAGTATGACGTGGGCATTATCCGACTTAGTGATGGTTTGCTGGGGTGTTAGTTATCAAGGAGTAACTGAGGCATTTTAATTTATTTATATTTGCCGTGTGGTTCTCGGCGGAGTAGAATAAGGCCAACCCATCTCTTCCCGTGGGTGTCGTAAAAGGCGACTGAGGGAATCTTTGGACTGTTTATCATCAGACAGTATATATACAGTTCGTGCGGTACTTGTCCTGGTGGCCTCTCCAACCGCTGGATATTGGTACATACCGCAGTCTAAGTCCTGTCTCCCATCCTAGTACTGCGGTATTCCCCCACCCTAATTTTCCTCTCTCATCCAATCCCCTCACCCCTGATGTTTCCTTTTTTCCCTTCCCTATCGTATAAACGACTACATTCCCAAGGAGGGTTGGCGACAGGCAGGCGGCCGGCCATAAAAATTAATTAGCCAAAACCACTATATTGCAGTATAAGTATGATGGAAATTGAGTGCGACAGTGCTAGGGCGTACCCCGTAGGCGACGCACGGCAGCAGCACCCGGCTACGCGAATAAGTGGACAAGGGTTGTTGCACCACCCGAGGCGGGTGCAACGTAAGAAGCAAGCCCGAGAGGTGAGGATGAGGTATGCAAGTTGGAATGTAGGGACTATGACTGGAAGAGCGAGAGAGCTAGCAGATGTGTTGAAAAGAAGAAGAATAAACGTGGCATGCTTGCAAGAAACAAAATGGAAGGGTACGAAAGCAAGAGAGATAGGAGAGGGGTACAAGTTTTATTACTGCGGAAGTGATGGGA